ATGGAGTTTGGCATTAGAAAAGAACGTATAGCGTCTATTTTCTCAAGCAAAGGTGCTATATCTGTGTTGTCTATTCTGTGACTTAGAAAGGATAGGCTCTTTTTGCCAACTACGTCTTCATTCAGGATCCCTTTACCAACTACTTCGTTCAGGATCACTTTGTCAATTACGTCTTCGTTCAGGATCCCTTTGCCAACTACGTCTTTGTTCAAGATCCCTTTGCCAACTACGTCTTCGTTCAGGATCCCTTTGCCAATTACGTCTTCGTTCAAGATCACTTTGTCAACTACGTCTTCGTTCAAGATCATTTTGTCAATTACGTCTTCGTTCAGGATCCTTTTGCCAATTACGTCTTCGTTCAGGATCCCTTTGCCAATTACGTCTTCGTTCAAGATCACTTTGTCAATTACGTCTTCGTTCAGGATCCCTTTGCCAACTACGTCTTTGTTCAAGATCCCTTTGCCAACTACGTCTTCGTTCAGGATCCCTTTGCCAATTACGTCTTCGTTCAAGATCACTTTGTCAACTGCGTCTTCGTTCAGGATCACTTTGTCAATTACGTCTTCGTTTAGGATCCCTTTGCCAACTACGTCTTTGTTCAAGATCCCTTTTCCAACTACGTCTTCGTTCAGGATCCCTTTGCCAATTACGTCTTCGTTCAAGATCACTTTGTCAATTACGTCTTCGTTCAGGATCCCTTTGCTAACTACGTCTTTGTTCAAGATCCCTTTGCCAATTACGTCTTCGTTCAAGATCACTTTGTCAATTACGTCTTCGTTCAGGATCCCTTTGCCAACTACGTCTTTGTTCAAGATCCCTTTGCCAACTACGTCTTCGTTCAGGATCCCTTTGCCAATTACGTTTTCGTTCAAGATCACTTTGTTAACTGCGTCTTCGTTCAGGATCACTTTGTCAATTACGTCTTCGTTCAGGATCCCTTTGCCAACTACGTCTTCGTTCAGGATCCCTTTGCCAATTACGTCTTCGTTCAAGATCACTTTGTCAATTACGTCTTCGTTCAGGATCCCTTTGCCAACTACGTCTTTGTTCAAGATCCCTTTGCCAACTACGTCTTCGTTCAGGATCCCTTTGCCAATTACGTCTTCGTTCAAGATCACTTTGTCAACTGCGTCTTCGTTCAGGATCACTTTGTCAATTACGTCTTCGTTCAGGATCCCTTTGCCAACTACGTCTTTGTTCAAGATCCCTTTGCCAACTACGTCTTTGTTCAAGATCCCTTTGCCAACTACGTCTTCGTTCAGGATCCCTTTGCCAATTCCGTCTTCGTTCAAGATCACTTTGTCAACTACGTCTTCGCTCTGGTTCCATTTGCCAACTACGTCTTCGTTCAAAATCACTTTGCCAACTGCGTCTTGCTAAATAGACACGTCAATTGTCTCTGTCCCGTTGCGATTGGCAAGAAAGCTCACTTTTTTTTAACTCTACCATATTAAAAGAATGTCTTATTATAATCCGAGATATTTCTGCAGGCTTTCTGTTTTATGTTCACATTCTGAAGCTACAAATTTTTGGTCCGAAGCTCCACTCCCGCTAGTTGGTGATATTATTTCTCGTACACAAAGAATGTTTTCCATTTTCCCTTTTCACGTGGTGTGTGATACTGACTAGATCGGTATTCAAAGTCATCTCGTTCGCTTCCATAGTGGCGTTAGCAGACTCCAAGTTAAAAAAAAAAAAGTACACTATTTCTAAGGGCCATGGCGTTGTCAAACCTCTGGGATGATTATGAATTTCTTTTATTGAACGACCTCCATCTATTTAATTACCATCTGTACATAGTAATCAGTCGTTTCTTCCTTTGATCGCTTCGTGAATTAAAACTATTTTCGGCATTTTATCTCACAGAGCGCTTAAACTGCAGATTGTGTTTAATGCGGTTAATATTTTCCCGTTCTCACATTTAAAAAAAAAAGTAACTCACATTGCGTAAATCATATGACTTAAGAATTTCAGTTATGTGTTTTTTAGGGTCGACACATCATCACGAGTCGCCCAGGCTACTGTTTTTTAATATTTTTTTTTATATCGTCACCATCTGTAGACTGGTTGTCAACCAAGGCTAAGAAAGCCAAATTTTCAATGCTATTTAAAGAAGAGGAACGAGAAGAGATTTTTACCAATTTTCACTCTTTATAAGGTCCAAGAGCCACTCAAAGTAGAGGGTTACTGAAGGAGAGTTTTGTGTGTGCGGTAAGAGTTGGAGGCTTAGTTTATGAGGATAGGAAGAAAAGTTAACAGTTAAGTATAGACTCGAACAGGTTAAGATTGTAGCGGTCGAGAAAGCCTCCATCTGAAGTAGATGACTCGTGGGAAGCAGCTGTTCGAGTGGGATTTATTTCTCACAAGTGGAATACGAAGGGAATGGGGTGTGGTTCGATCCAGTGGACGGGGCGTGGTGAGTCTTAGCTGCGAGGGTCAGAGTTTGTGGATCGAAGGAATGTAGCTCGTTTGAACCTCTTCCATAAAAGTAGCAATATAAAGATTTACTAAGCGTAGCTTAGGTGTGGCACAAGGCACGAAAGGGGCACACTGTGAGGATCAAACTCGATATTCTGTCGTAATTGATCTTGCGAGACAAGCTTGCTAACCATTATACCACGTCGAAGTGCCCTGGTGCTTTTCTATGAGTAGCTTAGATGTGGCTCAAGGACTAAAATATGGAGGATCCAGCGATGATCGAACTAGCTGTTCAGTCGTTATTGATCTAGAGAAATAATCTTGCTAACCATTACACGACGTCAAAGTGCCCGAAGTAGCAATATAGTGGCGAGAAGCTTGCAACGTTTCGTCTGTGACAAAGGGGATGTAGGGTGGAAAATAATTCATCACCCACAAGGTCGCGTAGATGCTTATGGAGTATCAAAACTAGAAAATGAAGATTGGGCAGCTCCAACCCAGATATAGCCGCTGTACTCCGTTTTTTGTCTGATCTGGATCTTGTAAAGGTAGAGTATATCAAGAGGAGTCAGGCACTTACTGAAACGGTACAAGAAACCAACCATTTTTTTCAATATCTTTAGAGATGGATCCTATACACGAGTTCTACTTGAAGTCTAGAGTGAGCTGAAATCTCAATAGGCGTTCAAGGCATGGTACTCCTTGCATTGAATGCCTTTTGGGATTGAAGTCTAGAATATGAAGACTGGGCAGCTCCAGCCTACACATGGCCGCTGTACTCCATTTTCTGTCTCTTGTAAAGGTAGAACATATCAGGAGGAGTTAGGCACTTACTAAAGCGGTACAAGAAACCAACCATTTTTTTCAATATCTTTAGAGACGGATCCTATACACGAGTTCTACTTGAAGTCTGGAGTGAGCTGAAATCTCAATAGGCGTTCAAGGCATGGTACTCCTTGCCTTTTAGGATTGAAATCTAGAAAATGAAAACTGGGTAGCTCCAGCCTATATATAGCCGCTGTACTCCATTTTCTGACTCTTGTAAAGGTAGAGCATATCAAGATTAGTCAGACACTTATAGGAGCGGTACAAGAAATATACGATGGAAATGAGCATGAGGTGACTCTGTAGACGTGGCATGGCGGCACCTAGCTGTGAAGATCTGGGCTGGTAGAATTAAGGAATGAAGCTCGTCTGAACATTTCTCACGCAAATAGTGATAGAGTTGCAAGAGGCTAACAAGTTGTAGGGTGGGAAATAATTCATAACTCACAGGGCCAAATGTCCGAGAATTCCGTGAAAACTGGAAAATAAGACTGGGCAGCTCCAACCCAGATCTGGCCACTATACTGGCTCTTGTAAAGGTAGTGCATAGCAGGAGTCAGGTCATCATCATTTGTCGACGGTAGTCGGGATGCGAATGATTGTATGTACGGTATATGCTACTCTAGAGTTACATACAGTTTCGAATTCTGAGTTACTTTCTCCTAGACCGGTTGCTACCCAAGGCTATAGAACGCAGTCTGTTCTGCTATTTACCCATAGCTCGGGACAAGAAGAAGAAAATTCATACCTTTCACAAGGGTATTAGCACATAAGTGAATATAATGGATTCGACAAGAATTGGAACTCGGCTCTCCAATTCCTCAGTCCGAGCCGCTATCTATTACCCCAGTGTTCCTCCCTAGATACTTAGGAGTCAGGCACTTACTGAAGCGGTACAAAGAACTGACCTTTTTTCAGTATCCTTAGAGATGGATCCTATACACGAGTTCTACTTGAAGTCTGGGGTGAGCTGAAATCCCAATAGGCGTTCAAGACAAGGAGCCGCCTTCAGTTGTCTCGTTGATGATGGAAAGTTATTAATTTGTGTTTTGAGGTATTGAATACAACCAGCTAGTTTCCACCCCACCATTGAATTTTGAGCACCCATATACCGTTGTATTATCTGCATAGATATTAGTATACTCTTAGGCAGAAGATTAATGTAATGCAGAGAGTTGAACTAAGAAGCGACTGCCTGGTGGTTTTTCGTGATTTCTTCCATGTTTGGCCGAATGTTCGATAAGCAAATTCTCATTTCTTCTTCAGTTGACAGTAGTCGTTTGCGCGTCTTATTTTTTGATGTTATTTAGGGCCGAGGAGCCTAATTCACATAAATAAGAAGCAGAAAATTGCAATAAAACTTATAAAGCCCTTTTAACTAATGTGGGATAAAAAATTTAATGCTTATTCATTTATTCAAATACTAACGCTGTACCATTACTGCTTACCCCCCTCACACACACACACATATATGTATGCCGTGACAATATTTCGCGGCATACTTAAGAGGATCGCGCGGCACACTAGTGTGCCGCAACGCAGCCGTTGAGAATCACTGCTCCAAATAAATATGTACAAATTTTTTAAAAAATCGAAAAAAGGCTTCACTGATCTTTCTGATCGGTCTAAAAATAAATGAAAATTGCACTTCGATGCCAAATTTAGGGCGCAGTTGAGAGATGCCTTTTCAAATATAAAACAAGTTTGTTTTTAATTGCAAATCCCTTTAGGCTCATAGTTCTTAATCGCTCTTCCTTTTTTTTTCTTTTTGTCCGTACCGATAACTGTTTCACAACCCACACCCTACCTGGCTTACAAGATGTGCTAAATTCTGTTTATATTCTGTTCTTTATCTCTTGTTGTTCACTGATGCATTACATTGTTTATTGTTAAACGAATCTGGTCGCTCGGAGTTTACTTGTGTGGCTGAACAGATAAATAATTATCCTTTCTGTTTTCTTATTTCGACCAACTACGAAATTCAATAAAAACATTGGAGTATTACTGTAACAATTAATCATTATAAATAACAAACGGTCGCTTTAACTGACAATGTCTATTGTTTAATGACATGTGATTAATTAAACTGCGTTAATTCATAATGTACACGAACAATTCAAACAAAAGCGCATTTTTGTATCAGAAAACAAATTATTTTCCTCTCTTTTTACGCCCCGTTTTTTTTTTATGTTATATATTAAAGTGGTGCGAGTAGCCTAGACAGTTATCGGTCCAGGATTTGAACTCGGCAAAACGAGTTCAAGTTTCGACATAATCTCTTGCTTTCACTTTCGCACGGATGCTCTCGGGAAAGACATAAATTGATCTTTTCTCCACTCACCATGGGTTACATAGTAGGGTAGACTAGGCTCTTCAGCTTTGCGCGATATCCAGTCTAGACAAAATCATGGAAGTGGCTACAAGAAACCACCCCATTGCTTTTCCCAAGAATTCATGGCAATTCACAGATAATAAAGGAAGTTCTATATTAACAGTTTCTTCTGGCGCACTTCTCGCTTGTGGAACTCTTTTCCGGTTTCTTATTTTCCGGGCAACTTTGACCTTTAAAAATTGAAATGCAATGTCCGTCGTTACTTTCTGTCTTCTTAAGTTCTGTTCTTTTATTGTTCTCTCTCCTTAATAATGCTTTTCTTATTTCATAATCAGTAACCTCATGTGTGTTAGTGTTGTAACCCAGAGAAGGTTACTGAATAGAATAATCACACGAAGGTTGGTAATGAAGGATAATACTGAGGACACAGACAACGTAGGTATACTACAACAGTTAGTGACTTTCATGGTAATTGCTGTGATAAACTTTCCTCTATAGTACCTAGACTTTATGAAGTTAAGCACAGGACTAGATTGGCGGCAAGGTATCATCATTTTACAGTTAAAATGGCCAGATATTCTATGCTAACAGTTTCTTTTCTTTCACTTCTCGCTTGTGGAACTCTCTTCCAGTATCTTGCTTTCCATTCGACTTTCATATTAATAAAATTTAAATGCAATGTCAATCGTTATCTTCTGTTTTCTTAATTTCCGGTCTTTTATTATGGTTATTGGTAATGTTTTTTCTTATATTCTTTCACACTCAGCACCCTCCACCCATGGGCGTTAGTGGCTTTGTTGCCTTGCTTGGGGTGAAATGATAAAAAAAAATCTTGGGAGAGCCATAACTGACTATGTTCTAAAGGAACATAATATAAAAAAAATAACTAAATAGGAGCAGGTGCAATAAATAATGTTGTCTTGATTAATATTTAAATTGCTTTGCGATATTGACATGCCGTGTACCTAGAAGTATCCGTAAAAATTCTTTTCGCTCAACGCTGGTATGACGTTTCTGAATTTTAGGTGCGCATCGATAATATCCCACACTTTACAAATTTTCCTACAGAAAAAAAAATGTTCATAGTAAATTTTATCTGTAAAATTAATGAAAAGTATATCGATATATTTTTTTAAATCACTTTTTAAATTTTTACAGTTTATAATATTTATAGTTTTTTCAAGTACTTAAAAACTGAAATTATAATCGAGCTTTTAAACGCAAATCGAATTTAGGATATAAATTTGCATAACAATTCCTTGTAAAAAGTTTACTCTTGTTTCCTCTTTGTAAGAAAATGGACTATGTCCTTCAAAAATTAAGTAAAGTATTAAGATTGATTCGTTTTTTTACTGCTTATCAATATTTTACAAGTTTCCGTCTATATCTCTGAGATGCGGTATTATGAGTATTTACATTATTCGGACTGTTATCCTCTTCTTCATTGCCATATTCACGTTTCGGTCGTTGAACGCTCCGGCCTTCTTCATGTGAGACATCCGGAAGAGGCTTGGTACGTGGAACTAGAACAATCTACCCCTGTGGACGAAATAAAGGTTTGGTTCGAAATTCCAATCACTTGAAGAAGGTCGGAGCGTACAACGGCCGAAACGTTGTGAATATGACAATGAAGATGAAGATAACATTCCGAATAATGTAAATAATTTTACAGGTTATTTAAAGAAAATATTTTTCGATTGTATGATTTTGGGGGAGATAATACTGATAATAATCTTACTAATTAACCAATCGTTGGGGGAGAAGGGATGGATTCATACCTTTCCCAACAGTATCTGTGCTTAAGTGAATATAACGAACCCAACAGGAATTTGAACTCGGATCTCCGATTAATAATTCCTAGTCATTATCCATTATATTTCACATCCAATCTTACAGCATCTGGTATTCCCAAACGGTCAACCATCTAGGTACTGACCAAGTTCGACGTTGCTTAACTTCTGTGATGGTACGGGAACTGGCGTTTAACGCTATATGGCTGTAAGCCAAAAGTATTAAGAAATAGGAAACAAAACGGCACTCGACGCTGAAAGATTTTCCTCGCAGACGAAGAAGACTTTCTTGCTTCCCTGATAACTACAATCTTCAAACATTTAACTGCAACGTTAGTCACCAACTTATGTCTTCTTGAACCCTGTTCCTTTCTTTGTCATTTCCTCAATCCTCCCCTCTAAAGTCGCGGAGTGCAAAATAAAAAGAAAAAAAAAAGAAGAGAAATAGAAAGGTGGAGAAAGGGAGGAAAATAGTTAAAATTTCTAGGGCACACAACGAGAAAAGAGGGCTTGGAAAATTTAACACTCATTGGACATATTAAAGGCAAGAGGAGTAGATCGGTTCATCTATCGTCCGGTTCAGACTCTTCCCCGGCCTTTTGAATAGAAGTAAAGGATTATCCATTGTTTCCTGTTTAGGATTGGGTTTCCGGTTACTTCTAAAAGCTACTTCAACTCCATAATTCTCACGTCTCAGCCTAAACTCTGAAAATTTATTTGCTATTTATTTATTTCCTCAATAAGAATATGCTCGCCTATCGTCCAATTTACACACCTTCCGGTCTTTTGAAGAAAAGTAGAGTTTTGTCCTTGGTTTCCTGTTTAGGATTGGATTTCCGGTTCCTTCTAAAGTCTTATTCTCTTTTATTCTCAGTAACTCCTTGCGTCTTAGTGACATTATCGCCTTGCTTGGGGGTGAAATGATTAAAAAAGATATATATATATATGATCTGCATTCGATAGTTGTAACTTTATAAAATATGACACCATGACGGGTGTCAAAGGTTAACTGGCGATCATTTCTTATTTCTAAAAGAAAAAAAAAAGCTTGTGTGGGATTGGTCATTAAGTACAGTCTTAGGTCTGTTTAACTTAAGTATTAATTTTTATAAAGGAATTGTTCGTTGGAATCAGTGGGATCTTAATAGGTCAGTTTTGTTTTGATCAGCGAAATAACACACTTTCAGGTAGAATTGACGTTGACACCTGGGATATTCAAAATAAATGAGGGTGATATTCAGGAACATGGAAAATGTTCCACTGAAGGTGGATATGGGCGATGCAAGGCCGCCATATTTGATTGACTACCGCCAATGAGAGAAGGGCTGGGACGGAGTTTCTCGCCCCCCCCCCATATACTTACGACACAAGGCCATTATTTTGATTGGGCTATCAATCATATTGGGTTTTTGGGAGATTTCCTTCCTCCTCTCCGGGGCGTATGGCACATGACCATTGGTCTTACTGGCCAATCAGAGCAGTGCAATTGGGGTTTGCACCCCTATAAAATGCAGTCGCCGAAAATAGTCCAACACCCTCCCTGTCGGATATGTTTTTGTAGTTTCTCCCTGTGAGTATGTGGTATATGTAGGATTGAATGGTGATAAATGAGTTCTTATGGTAAATGGATCAATTCTATTGGATGAATGGGTCATGATCGTGATTAAGTAGGAATAGGTTAGTCAGCGAAGACTAGCCTCTCCCCACTTTGGCTATGGGCCTACAATTAATGTATTCGTATACAGTAATAAATAACTCTCCCTGCCGGATAAACGTGGTGCCTCAATCAGCTAAAGACCTGTTTTCTGTGCCGCTTTCATTTTTTTTTTTATTCCTTCGGTCAACTGCCTTTATTTAAATAGTTGAACAACTCTGAGCTGTCTAGGCATAACTGCAATTGCCAGTCAACCTCTTGAGAATTCCATGTACGGGGAAACTTCTTCAAATCCTTTTTGTTTATGTATTAATATTAGTTATAGTACCATAAATAAAAGTTATTATTTTTACACTTGTTAATAAGTGTTGTTGAAGTTAATTAAGTTTCAAGCATAGACAGGACAGAGAGGAGTCAAGCCTGATCTTCGATAGTTCTTCACCAATATTCCTGTGTATACAATGTGGGGGCGCAAGATTGATGTAGAGTGGGTTCACCGGAGACGAATAGAGACCAGAGTAAGACTGGCATTCAGCGAAGCTCACGGCAAGTCATAAATTACAAATCTTCCGGTATTTTTAATGGATGCCAGTGTACCTGTAAAAACTACAATGTCAAGCTGAGATATACACATTTGTTTTTGACGGACTAATTAAGTTAATGAAACTTGTAGATAAAAGAGTAAAAAGGGGGTATTTTTTTTTTTACTTTTATTTAAACGAAATAGGCAAATAAAAATTCGTAGATTCGGTTCAAATCGTAACAGAAAGAACTAAAAAATATTGTATTCCGTTCTAAACGATGCAAGTAATGAGTTACTTTTAGGATGAAATCACTTAAAATACAGTGTAACCCGGATATAAGAGAAACCCGGATATAAGAGAGATTTTCTCTGGCCCCAAATTAGAGCCTGTGTTAATGTATATATAATAGACCAAACCCGGATATAAGAGAAACCCGGATATAAGAGAGATTTTCTCTGGTCCCAAATTAGAGCCTGTGTTAATGTATATATAATAGACCAAACCCGGATATAAGAGAAACCCGGATATAAGAGAGATTTTCTCTGGTCCCAAATTAGAGCCTGTGTTAATGTATATATAATAGACCAAACCCGGATATAAGAGAAACCCGGATATAAAGAGATTTTCTCTGGTCCCCAAATTAGAGCCTGTGTTAATGTATATAAAATAGACCAAACCCGGATATAAGAGAAACCCGGATATAAGAGACATCTTCTCCGGTCCCGACAACTCTCTTATATCCGGGTTACACTGTATATAAAAGGCATACATTTTTTTCAACAACTGAAAAACATTAGAAAACAGTGTCTTCAAAAATATGATGATAAAAAATATTTTTAAGCATGGCTGATTATGTACGAAATGTTTTCATGAATTACTAATAAAATAGATAAAACTTGTAAACATCGAATACTTATCTTTAAAAATACAAAAAATGTTTAAAATGTACTAAACGCTATATAAACCATACCCCTAATCCTAGAAAATAGCATATCCCACAAACCAAAGCGAATTTAACATCAATTTTTTTTTTCTCTGAACGCCTACGCAGACTTCCACAGGTAGCTTCTTACAAACGATTTTCATTTCTTGAGAATAAATGACTGCTTAGAAAAGATTAACTGTGGTTCCAACAACTCCTGGCACACAGTAAGGTATGTTATATTACTAATACTTTTTTTTTTTTTTTTTTTAATCACTTTATTTTTTAAAAATGTCCGTTTTCTGCAATTTTTCCAATGAAAAATTTTCAGTTAGGGATAGACACGTTGATGCAATTCATGATTTGATAGTCGTAGCAACTGTTCTCTCTTCCACGTATATAGGTACGTGCAGGGCACTTCAACGTGATGTAATGGTTAGCAAACATACCTCGCTAAATCAAGTCGAACTGAGTAGTGAGTTCGATCTTCACTGGGTGCTCCATACATACTCTCTCCCTTTTGCCACATCTGAGCTACGCCTAGTAAATCGCTACATACATACGCGCATGCTTGCACAAAATATTCACATAAGTCACATTGAGACGAACTAGACCCCTCCCAGAGTGTAGGCAATAATATAAGAGAAAATCGTTAGTTTTGCTAAAATATAAATATCTCTGTGCTAAATGTTATTTCCTTACGTTTTGAGTACGATAAAATGTAATTGTTCTTAACATCCGATACGATATAAAATTTGAATAGCGACAAGTTCGCCATTAAAATTTTAATGAGTATTTGCATTGCTCCTTAGCTTTCTGTGCGACGTTATATTTATATTGTAGGATATAAAGTAGCAAGATTTAGTAATAAGGATTGAGGAACCAGAGCCGAGTTCGAATTCCAGTCGAATCCATTACATTCACTTACGTGCTAATACCCTTGGGAAAGGTATTAATCCGCTTCTTCTCCCTCCAGCTATGGGTAAATAGCAGGACAGACCGGGTTCTATAGTTTTGGATGGCAACTGGTCTACCGCAGAAAGAAATGGCAACCTACTGCGGGAAAAATATGCTTCGTCAATCATATATCGAAAGATACATGACTGCTTAAATGTGTATCACGCATGGCACATAACTGACTGATATTAAAAAGGTTATTTATATATTGTAAACCCACTTTAATTTTCATGCAAGAAATGTTTCGAATTATTTAAATACGAATTTAAAGAAACAAAAAACTACCTCCTTCCACATTTGAATTATCACGAATTATAGAATGAAAAGAACTACTTTTTATTTTTAGTACGTTTATGAAAATGTGTGCGAGTATTCAGCCATGCATACAAATGTTACAGGTCAGTGAAAAAGAGACGAGAAAAAAATATATAATAGTTAGCCTGGGGAAAATGTCTTTCAAAGTGATCGTTTTTTTTTTTTGTTTTTATATTCTTTCAGTTCTACTTCGTTGATATTATTAAGACTACAACTGGATTTTCAGCTGATATTTTTTTACAGCTTAACCCATTTTTTGCATTGTAAGAATTTTTTCAGAATGAATATTGCATTGTCAATTTTTGCGAGTGACAACGATTTTTCCCTAGATAGAAATCCTTTTTAATTTAATCCAGTGCTGCGTGGGAAGATGTGAATTCATACTTCTAAGGTATTTACACACGAGTAGATGTAACGATCTTGGCTCTCCGACTTAGACTGTTGATTTGTCCTTGGTATGACGATGAACTACATCCGGCAGCAAAGCCTCTTATTGTAGGTTCTGAAGAGCCTGGAACCAGCCATTGCTGTTGTTTGCAGGTTCACCCTGACTCTGTGTGGCAGCACCTGTTAGGGTCCCAGCTATGGACAAATAGTGAACACCTCCGCCCCAACAAAACGTTATGACAGTATGAAAATACATTTTTACACAAATTACCAACAATATGCACATACTAACAAATTGTAGAGACTTCACCCAAGTCCGTTTAAAATACTACCAAACAACCAAGATAAAAGAACTTGTATTATATTAAGCAACATAATATCCTACAATTTTTTTTTTTTTTTTTTAACAAACTATATTCCAAAATATAACTTCAAAACCACAACATAAAACATAACCATCACCGCCTCTAGTAATAATGTCCACATGTATATGCACAAAGGCTGAGTATCATCTACCATGTATTAAATTGTGAAAGCAGAATGACATGTATTATATTTTTATTACTTCCAAGCTCCCAGGAAAATTTTAACTTCGGCATTAAATGATACAGAAGGAGTTGAGATGCCGTTAAACAGATAACTCAATCAATCGACTGTTAATAAAACATTTGATTACTATTGACCTATTAATACATGACGTCTTTTTCGATTAATTTGCAGTTTAGCACCCGCGCTCAGTTCGCATTAAAAATTTCCAGAATACTTACATTTATGTGTAATTGTATATGCTTCATTTGAATCTGACTTGATAAATTTGATAAAATCTACTGTTTTAGTGTTATCGACAGTAAAATTTCAGATTAATTCGCCTCACGGCAGCCATTACTTACATACATTTGCTGCTGAATAGCTATGAGTAATATTCACTTGTCTTTATTTCGCACAATTGAGCGTTTGTACGTAAATAATTTTCTTGCGAATAATTGAGACAAGCATGATCAGTAAAAAAAAAAACAAAAAAAACCGCTAACTACATTCTTCCGCAGCGAATGTATGCAAACAACGACAGTAATGGCTGACGCGAATGAATCCGAAATTTTACTGTCGATAACTCCAAAACTGTGGATTTTATCAAATTTATCAAGTCAGATTCGAATGAAGCATGTACAATTACACATAAATGTAAGTATTCTGGAAATTTTTGATGCGAACTGAGCGCGGGTGCTAAACTGCAAATTCACCCTCTTTTTTTTTTTTTTTTTTTTTTTTTTTTTTTTTTTTTACTGTTACTAATCACGATTTGTTCGTAAAAACTCAGATTAATGACTAAGCTTTGTCTAATTGTAATACGAGACGAGTTAAATCAGTAAATACAACTTATCCAGTCGTTATTTAAAATTCACTGTACATACAGCATTAGATTAAATTGGCGCAGTTGGTCGAGAAATTAGAAAATTGAAACCAGAAAACTAAGTTTCACATTGATGTGCTGTAGTGTTTGCATTGTCCGTGACATGAAGATAACTCTCGCTTGCGTCAGTCAGTGAGTCTACCCACAATTTTGTTGTCCTGATTTTTAACTTTAATGAAAATAAGAAAAATGATATCTATATTTAGAATCAGAAAGAGACAATTAAAGGTTCTTTTCTGTTAATTCACATTTACTGAAATTAACACCAAATTCTTCCAGATCAAGGCCCTTCCATTACACTCCAGTGGGATTTGTCTTTGCCATCGACCCTTTCTAAATGTGGGGTTTACGTTCGCTCTCACTTTGATAAACAAGCCAAAAACAGATTTTTGTTTGTTTAAATTGTAAAAAATTCCTTGTAATTATCTCGAATATCATCTGCACTTACAAAATGTAAATAACTCCCTGATTTTTGGTAATTTTACATTCTGATGTTTGGAGTTTTTGCGAGCATGCAAAACAAATTTTGATTTCAGATTTATACTTTAAAGAGTGCCAAAAATTTAATGAACAAACTTGGATATAAATTTTATTTCTTGGTAAATTAATAGAAAAGATCTTCGGTGAAATTTCTGGGATACATAAAGAAACAGGGCTTTGAGGATTTGATATTCGTAGGACATATTGAAAGCAAGAGGTGGGGAAACAATTTACCTACTAGTAAATAGCCGAGTACTAAAATGGTAGTGTCGAACGGTGTTTTACCCAAGTACCTTTTGTAATAATTTCATTGCAACTACATAAATTTTATTTTAATCACGTTTTGGGATTAGGGGAGATAGTTCAAAAGTACCTGGAAGAATGCCAGAGTAATGCCCCCCCCCCCGTCTTTCTTTTTCCTCTTACATTTTTTACAAAAGGTATTTTTATCAAACTAATTTTCTGTGTGTTTTGAAAGCGGCATAGAAAATTCAATACTTGTATTTAAAAATAATCATTGTTAGATGTGATTTTGTATTTACTTGAGTCACTACCACTTTGTCAGATTGTGACAAAAGGTCAGTTTTTAACGTGGGGACCCAAGTGTCTTCACTCGGGCCGCTGGTCTTTGCTAGTCATAGCCGTGATACGTCCAACACAGGGACGGGTCCCTGACCGGTAAGTAGATATTTACTTGACCCCCACCCACTGAGTCAGGTTGTGACAAGGTCAGTTTTTAACGTGGGGACCCGAGTGTTTTCACTCGGGCCGCTGGTCATAGCTTGTCCAAACTGGTCAGAGCTGGTCTAAGCTAGTCGTAGCCGTGATACCACCAGCACATAGAGGGGTCCTGTACCAGATAAGTGTACTTACTTGACCCCCCCCCAACTGAGTCAGGTTGTGACACAAGGTCAGTTTTTAACGTGGGAACCCAAATGTTTTCATTCGGGCCGCTGGTCTAAGCTGGTCATGGCTTGTCCTAGCCGGTCCAGGCCGGAGCCGGTCCAAACTAGTCCTAGCCGCGATACCACCAGCCCAGGGACGAGCCCTGTACCAGGTAAGTATCAGAGTGTGTAAACCACTCGAAAGATTTTTAGCTGCGATTTTTCACTTTTCTTTTAATTCTAAAGTACAAATTTGCTTAATAGAACCTTCTCGAAGGATCAGTTAATAGGGGAGTAAGAATGGACTTTAGAAAATGTTATTTTATTATACATGAGATAATAAACATGAAGTCGTTAGTGATGTTTTATTGGTATCATGAAAATCCTCGGGTTTTTCAACATAAGACCCTTTCCGCCAGGTAACCACGCTTGGGTTGATTAAGTACAAGCACTCATCTTTATGCTCACGTGCTACGTATTGGATACGCTTGTTTTAGCGGGTTTTTTTTTTTTTTCGTTTCGTTAAGCGTTTCGATTGTACTGCCATCAGCCAGTGAAATTCTTCCACGCAGGTATATTACTCCACGTTTCGGTTTGTGAGAGTCTATTTGGAGTTATTCGCCGCCTTTAGTGTGGTAAGTAGTTATTTGCCGTTTTCTTTCTGCCTCCCCCACCAACTTACTTTCCCTAATTTATACCTAAGTTATGAGATTTTTATTTTGTTATTTTCAAAGACAGGATGAAGAACTATTCTAAAAAAAATCTAAAAGTAAATAATAAAAAAAAAAAAAATCTAATCTCATTAGCCTTTGTTTTAAACGAGAAATTAATTTATCCTATTTTTAATTATTTACGTTTTTTAATAGAAAGAAAGGAAACTTCGAGTTTACTTGTCTACATTTGATGCCTATATTTCTTTACTAGCTTAAAAGCCGCCCTATCGGGCAGCATTTAAACTAGCTCCTGCGGAGGGCTCTTAAGCTTTCATTACAATTAGTAGGGAGGAGTAGATGTAATGAGTTACAATAAACTACAGAAGAACTCAAAATTGATCACTGCATTGCATTAATATTTAAGCCTACATTTTAAAAGTTCAAGATAATTCTTCTGCCGCCACTTAAGACGGTTTGATGTACGTAGGTCTTTTCTTTCCGTACAAACAATTACTTTTATTTCATGTGATTTTCGCTGTATTTCGTAATTTCGATTATTCCCAAAATTATCATACAAAAAATTCGACTCAAAAATCATGTAAAAAAAAATAAATAAATAAATAAAAATCGCTGAAAACAATTGCAGTAATGAAAACTTAAGTATCCAAAATATCAGGATTGCAGGCCCGAAATGTTTATAATTTGCTCATGGAGTCAGTCTGATTCCAAAATGGTATATGTTGGGCTATATAGATAAATTACTTCTGCTTGGTACATTAGCTCTTATTTGAAAATGCTTATCTATTAATCTTATTAATTTAATTAATATTAATCTATTATCTTATTAATATCGAAATACCTTTTGCTGTCCTTTCCGGCATTTCTCCCCCCAATATTCTAATTCTGCTTTATTCCATATTCGAGATCTTTTGAGCCACATTCATCTAGATGATTTTTCGACTGTTTTATTTATTTCAGAGCTGACCTTTTTCTTTGATCTTATCTGTCTAGTGCAGTTAGAGAAGCTTATCAGATCTGGCCGAAGTGGTATTTCTGAAATTTTAGACTTTTAATTGCTTCTTTTTTTTTTTTTTTAAATCCAAGTTTAGCTGAAGATAATATTCGTTTATTTGTACTTGGTTATTAGCCCCTGCTCTGAAAATTTTCGACTTGCTATGCTCTCCTTCATAGCAGTGGTAACTGCGTCAGCCATCGCTTTTCGTACTTGGTTGTGACTCCACTGATAATGACCGTTGGTCAAAACCTTGAGGTAGCTACTTAATATTGTAGCGATTATTTATTTGTGCAAACTGAAAATTTTGGGCTCTCGCTCTTACCCCAATGTTTACCGGGCTTTGCAGGGATGTCGTATACAGGTTGGACGAAGAAACAGAATTGGTTGAAGTCGGCTCGTCACAAATCTATTTGCTCTTTGCTTAGTCTTGCCATCTTACAGTAACGTTGTTCGTCCGATCCAGCGTGGACTTCTCCCGGTATGAGCTGGCGTCTTTACCTGCCTTCAGCCTTATTTAATTGAGGGTGAGGTGGGGCACCAGCCTAGACCTGTTTTCCTTTTCTTTCGTGTGCTTTTCGTCTTTCTTCTACCTGTAGTTCTCTGGGAGCGATCATTTTTATATATATATATAATATATATATATATATATATATATATATATATATATATATATATTAGTCCAACTTTGTATTCGAGCTACTTTAATGTTAAGTGAGTTTCTATATAGTTGGACCTCTTGTCGGTTCGAACAAATTCTTGCTGAAAGAGTTGAACTCCATTGGTCGTACCAAATAGCACTACACTGCTTAGAATATTAGGCAATCCAAATCATCTTCCGACGTTTTCATTGATCGTTCTCTCCATTTTTCCACGCTTGTTATAGGAACATCATGATGTAGTAATAGCCATAAAACTTGAATCCAACTGGTAATTACGATATGTCTCTTTATTTTTCATTGATTTGACCATCATTATGACTAAGAGCCTTGCTCTCTCTGGTTTAAATTCTATTCTAGCCCAGGACATAACTTTTTCGAGTCCTCTTAGCAGCCATCCCCCAGTAGTGACTGATGGCGGTGTCACAAATTATCCATATTGGCCGTTACTGGTTGCCTGACATTGACATGGGATCCTAACCGTCTACTTCTGTTGGTTTTACCAACATATTCATGACCAAGGCAAAGAGGAAGACAGACACCCCACAACCGGTTATTATTCCTCTCCAGACCGTATCAGTGGTGAATCTTGTCACTTTATATGAAACGTATAATAATCTGTAATGAGACTGCATATCACTTTGAAACCTGATGTCCTAAGGCTTCTTTTACAAGCATATGTGAAACTGATCCGGGCGCGTTAGTGAAATCCAACTACAGGACTACTGTCTCACCTTTGTTTTCTTGTGCTTCTCGCAGGTTCCATGTTAATACACCGTGTTTTCGAGGCACCCTGGCATACTCGCAATCGCATTCTGCACCGATGTAATCATTACTTTGGAGGCGTCTTGCTGTAATCTCAAAGATCTTGCCTTCAAGATACTTTCAAAAATAATAGACATTACCGCGGAACTAAATCTCCCTGTCTTGGACCTTGGTACCGCCCTCGCCACACACACTGAATATCGCATTTTCGAATGACTTGTGTTTATAGAATTCTTTAAAAAAAATTAATTCGCTATAAATTCTAAAAAGTATGTAAAGAAGTTCTCGGAGGATGGGACTGTTGGCTGAAATCATTAAAAACACGGTGAAGTAATGGATAGCGGCTCTGACTGAGGAATCGGAGAGCCGAGTTCGAATTCCAGTCAAATCCATTACATTCATTTACGTGCTAATACCCTTGGGGAAAACGTGTATCCTCTTATCTCCCCCCCCCCAGCTATGGGTAAATAGGAGGACAAACATAGCTTTGGATAGCAACTGGTTTACTGCAGAGAGAAATGGCAAACCTACCTCGTCAGTCATGTATCGAAAGATACATGATCGCCTAAGCGTGTATCACGCATGGCACATAACTGACTGACTGAAAAACAACTTAAACTCCTACGAGGAAAAGACTGCGAGAATTTATTTTAACACTTTCGCTGCAGTGGACGCAATTATACATATTTGTGAAACTGTATGTATGTCATATTTTTTTTTTTTTTTTTTTTTACGACACCGTGTCGGTCCTTAGCGTTTGTGTTATAAACGAAGAGAATTGTAAATATTATTTTCACTGTCCGTACCAGCAAATGGTAATATATACACTGGCATTAATGGAATGTTACAATATAGGTTAAATTGCAGGGCAGATTGGGTTCCCTTGTCGTCGGTAGTAACCCGTGTAAGAAAATGAAATGCTGAATTCAAACCGGTTGGACGTATACGTGCTGTGAACCATGACATTCCACGCATCGAAGCTTTCAGATATTCTGAAACCACCGTACCGCTGGATCCTGGAGGGGTTGTTGAAAAGATATGTCTGGATTTATAGATACTTGTTTTTAAGACTGTTCACCTTATACAAGGCACGAGAACCACTCGAAGTAGTTATAGAGTAAGAAGCACAGATTATGCGTATGTGTTTGGAAGATATCGGTTAACCCTAGAACAGATTGTAATGACCGAGAAATGATTTTCTTGTGAGTTTTTTTCCACAAGGTAGTAGTTCGTGGGAAGAAGCCGCTTGAGTAGAACTTAAATCTCACGAAGGGATTACGGTGGTTCGATACAATGTGCGTGTCATGGCGAGTCTTAGACGTAAAGGTTTGAAATGGTGGAACTAAGGATCTGAGCCAGGTTTAGATGGAGAGAGGGGTCCGAGGATATTCCACTTGTGTGGCCGCTCCAAATACCCACCATCCACCCACTTCTTCTCACGAGTAGAGGAAAATGGAAGTGTGAAATTAAACGGTTTGAGTTAAGACGAGGAAGATGATGAGTGTTTAAAATTTCACAGTTGACACATCCTCCTCTAAAGAACAGTATGTGATTGAAAAAAAATGAATGAATATTAAAACTTAAAGAAATCAATACTAGCATCGAGTTATCGGCTTAAGTATTATTCTGAAATGGAATGTAAAGAAAGTTACTGAAGGGTTGTTTAGTCTACAATGAATGCTTACACATGTGTAAAAAATGCCTATGGCATTGTCAAAAATATTATACACTTTGGCTGGAGGACCCCTAGATTTTGAGGTTCAAGATTTCAGCCTGCCAAGCCTATAGGTAAATCTCTCACTGCTAAGGAATGTAGTTCATCTGAACATTCTCAATGGAAATAGCGATAGAGCAGCGAGAGTCTTGCGACGTCTTGTCTGATAAAGGGGTCGTTGAGTGGAAAATAATTCATCGCCTACAAGGCAGCGGAGACACATTTGAACTTTGTCGAAACTGGATAGCAGCAGTACGTCATTTTCGTTTTGATCTGGCTTTTGAAAAATTATAGACAATGGAATAAAATAAAAATGAAACTAATTTCTTTTTTGTAATTCAAATTTACTGAACTACTCGATCAATAACAAATCTAAAGTTTGATTTACAAGATAGTGATGTAACCACGAAGCAGGCAGGTAGTTCTAATATATAGTCAGTCAATGTTAGCTAGTATGAAAAGGTCCAGTAAAAGTGCTCAATACTATGTAGAGATTAAATGAACATAAAGATTATAAGATAAAAATACTTTAGTACCTTATTTCTTCCTTCTGGTCAGTGAGGTTATATTATTATAATAATTTTTTTTTTTTTTTTTTTTTTTTTTACAATGATCACTCTGTACAAGACCTGAGCATTACAGAGTAATAGGTACAGTTTGGATATGTGGGGAAGATAACGGTTGACCCTAGATTTGAACAGGTTAAGATTCTAGTGATTGGAGAAGCATCCTCTTGGAAGCTGGTTCCAGAAGGTAGTGGTTTATGAGAAGAAGCTGCTTGAGTAGAACTTACATCTCACTAATGGAACATGAAGGGAATGAGGGTGGTTCACTAAAATGTGCATGGCATGGTGGGTCTTAACCATGAAGCTTAGGACTGGTGGAATTACAGATTGTAGTTCATATAAACATTTTCCATAGAAATAATGATCGGGCAACGAGAGGTTTGCAATGTCTCATCTGTGAGAAAAGGGCTGTAGGGTGGAAAATAATTTGTATTTGTTTAATAAGGTAAAGGATAGCAAGAGGAGTAAGATATTGTTATTAATGGAATGGTATAATATAGGTTAAATAGCAAGACAGATAGGGTTCACTAGTCTTCGGTAGTAAATTATATAAGAAAATGAAATACTGAATTCAAACTTGTTGGACATACACGTATCGTGAAGCGCGAAAAAGACCTTCCATACATCGAAGTTTGCAATTGTTCTTCCACACCTATTTTGATACCACCTTGCCGCTAGATCTTGGATTGGTTGTTGAAATGATGTCTTATGCATCCTTTCACTCGTTTAACTTTTCTTTTCTTTAAAAAAAAAATCCCCTTACACGCATTTCCTTCAAAGGAATAATTCTAATGGTTTGAAATGGCTACCGATGGTTGTATCCAGAATAACAGTGATCGAGCGCCATATTATTTGTATAACTCTCGTGATAATACTTTTTATTTTATTTTACCTCGTTACTTGCTTTCTTGTTCGTCTCTACTTGACAAAACCTGAAAACACTATTCATATTTTCAAATAGCCTCGTCAGGTCGAGACTTTCATATGGGTGCTATGCATGGCGCCAAACCCGTTCAGAAATATCTAAACTGTCAGTTGTATACAACCGCTTTCTCAGTTCATTGGTTAAAATGGCGTTGAGCATGTGAAGCCTTTGGGTTTTGGTGAAGACCCTCCTTCTCTGAACCTTACTGACTGGCGCTACAGAATCACAGACAAAGAACTGTAACAAATAACGGAGACCACGTCACTTGAGGACTTTCAACAGCAGCCCTTCTTCAAACCTTGAGGACTGGCACTACAGAATCACAAAGAACTGTAGCAAATAAGAGACCACATACATCACTCGAGGACTATCCATAGCAGCAACAACAAAAATAAATAGTACATGTGACGAAGATAAAGTAATGACGTAATCAAGATGTTAGCATTAAACAATATGTCAAACAAAAGGTTAGGAAAGATCCCCCCTACCCGCCATCAATGCTAGAAAGTGATAAGTTACTGGAGTTGAGAAAATTATTTGCCTTAAAAATTTGTCTTAATACAAAGATTTTATAAATTTCAATCGACAACAATGCTGGCTGCTCGGTCAATGAATACCAAAATGTTTCCTTATAAGGAAATGGCTAATATTACCATTATTATTATCATTACTATTACCATCTTACAATTTACCAGGTACTGACTATAATCACTGAGAGTTGATAGGGACAAGCAATAGTGCATATCAGATTAATTTTTGCACGCATGAGCTTTTAAGCTGGAGGTTACATACAATAAATAAGATTTTATTGCCTCGGCAAAAAAAAAAATGCTAAGAATATAAAAGGTCTGAATAAAGGTGCGTGTATGTTAGGATGAACCCTCCTGTGAGAAACTTATATTTGAAAAGAATTCTTTTGTAGTTTGGTAGATTTATTAGATATGCAGTTGTATAGACAAGTAAGCTTAGGGAATTTGCATACGATTCTGTGCTCTATTTAATGAAATATGTTGTTTGTTGGGGACAAAAGTGCGCCAGAGAGGAACGAGGTAGGTCCTATCACTAAGGCAACTTGTGAATAAAGAGGAAAAAAAAGTGAATGAAACTTTTCTTATATACTTGTTTTTTAAAAGAAAATCCATATTTCGAAAAACAGAAACACGTCTAAGATCCTTTCAATCTTCAACAATTCATCGAAGCTTACAAAAAAAAATTCCATTTTCTTTTAATCTCTTAAGAGAATAAAACTTTTTTTCTCCAATACATTCTTTATGCACGATTAAAAAAAAATCGATAAAACTTAACATTCGCCCCCGCAAAAATGACGGTTTTTCTCTTGACATCACAATTACTGTAGTGTATACTCCCTCGGCAAATTTTATTGCTTTAAAAAGCTATTTTT